TACTGACAGTCTGTCCAACTGACAGACTGACATCAGGGAAACAGGTCGTCGGAACGAACTCACGTGGTAAAGTCTTGATAGGAGGTATGCCGCCGGTCAACACAGACCACAATTCCATGGGCCCGGCTGATTTTTCCCAGTCAGCGCCCATATAAAATTCGCTGCGAAGTCCAATCAGCGGCACCGAGAGTTCCTCGTCTAAAAAAAAATATCCCGCTTGAAGAACGCCATTTTGGTGGCCTGCCTGCAATTTGAGGGTCACGACCCTCAACTCAAGCGGTCAACTAGGGTTAACGACCCCAATTGGTCAATGCCAGCTGGCAGCCGTTTACCGTCACCGCTCCCAAAATTTCTCCACACTTCTTTTTTTTTTTTAACCGCACATCTTGCCTCAAGGCAGCCATGATCCTTGCACAGTGTATTCACTGACAGGCCAAGAGAGCTTAGTAGATTACATCATTGCAGAGTAATTTAACACAAAAATATCATGATAATGAGGGATGTAGTATTTACTCTCATAGTACCATTATTATTATTAAAAAAAAAAAAAAAAACAACCCAAGATGATGCTAAGGGTGCTGATAGGAGCAGGCACCACGAGCAGTCTCGGGAGGGCTCCATCTATTGGTGGGGGGCAACACCTGCTGGAAAGCGGGTCCAGCGTCTCTGATCATTGTAATCAATTGTTTGAACAGTTATAAATGCGCAGGCGCTCGGTGATGGGCAGCATTGATTGCCTTCGAGCGAGGGGATTGACTGCCCATCAAACCCTAGGACCATTACCCTGCCCTATTCAACTACTATCCGGTACAGTAAGAAGGGGAAAGATCCGGACAAGGTTTGGCTTCTACGTCTGCAATTCTCTACCCAGTGTTGCCAGCGCATGTGTCTGCCCTATAGCACTAACTAACAAAAACTCGCTCAATAGGGGAGAACACCGGTTCAAAAAAAGAAATTGAAATCACAAAAGGGTGAAAGAGCAGCCTCAGATAAGAGTCCTACTCTTCCGCCCTCTCCAAGCGGCCGGGACCAAGCGACTCACCTTAGAAACAAGCAGCAAACCCTAGTAACATATGCAACATCACCTCTCCCCGGCCCGCCACATGGCGAATACTTGTGTTCATAGTAATTGGTGTGCCCATCAATATTCGTAAAGGGCAATCAATTCCACTCAGGCGAAATCAAGCACATCCAAATGTTGATCCCTGTCAACAAAACCAGTGGGAGGTCCTATCCCTACCCCACCCCTTCGCGCCACCACTGTGCACCTTTCCGCATTCCCCCTTCAATAATCGGCGGTCAGGACACAGAAAAGAAGGGGGAAAGAGGAGAAAATAGCCGTCGCCCATCCCCTGACGCACTCACCACATTATCATGATTATTGTCGTTGTTGTTGTTGTGGATGTCGATTTCGCCAGTCACCCTAGCGATGAATCGCTCGTTGCTGTTATCGTTGTGATCGTTGTTATTGTTGTTGTTGCAGCCATCAGTGTTGTTGTTGTTGTTGAATCTGATGGAAACGCCAATCTCGCCAGTGTCAGAATCACCATCACTAGAACTGGCGTCCTCTGCGTTGTTGTTGTTGTTGTTGTTGTTGTGTTGTTGTTGTTGTTGTTGTTGTTGTTGTTGTCGTCGTTCCCGCTTTCGCCAGCACACGATCGTGAGAACACAACGTTAATATCTCTTCTGGTGTTGTTGTTGTTGGTGTTGTTATAGCTGTTGATTCCGCCAATCTCGCCGGTGCAAGAATCGCCATCACAGGGACCAGCAGCTGCTGCATCAATGTTGTTGTTGTTGTCGTTGTTGATGATGTTGTTGTTTCTGTTTTCGCCAATGCATGGACATCCTACCTCTTACATAGGTGTTGAAGGTGATGATGGCGAATCGTCCTCGTCCTCCACATCGAGCTGAGCATACCAGCGCTCCGTTGACAGAGCACACAGTGCTTGCCCCTCTTCAAGGACTGCGTAGCAGTGTCGCATCAAAATCGCCGCCTGTCCCTGGTCAATAAACCATGCCAAATAAGAAGCTGGCCCCTCCTCCAGCTTCATGATGATGTGCAAAAGGCTCTGCAATATGCTCTGGTGTGTGAGATATGGTAGTGCATCTCCCCCATCAGCCACCATCCTCATCTCATCCACTTTCTGTCGGAGAAGGTCGTGACTCGTCTGAAGAAGCGAAAGCCACTGGGCGGCGCCCTGAAGTAAAGCAGCAGTTGAGTCCATCGGCATCGTTGACCGCGTTGACCACGTTAACCGTGTCGCTGTCGTGGCAAAACCTCCCGTCCACGTCGCGGCTACTCTTGTTGGCTGTTCTCCTGTATTGCTCCCGAATGATGCGCTGGCTTCTCTGCATCGCACGTTTGCCACGTGGCACTTTGCGACTCCAGCTTTTGCAAGCTGGGGACGGCGATGCTCAAGCCATGGGGTGCCGTCCAGCCAATGCGGCTCCCTTCCCCAGGCTTGCGCGTCTCCTGGCGGACAGGCCCTGCCGTCCGCGGGTCGCTGGGTGCTAGCGCTCTGTAAGCCCTGCCAACCTGGTCTCTATGAAATCTCCATCACCAGAAAAGTTAGCGATCTCCACCCTTCTGCCCTTGTACTACTCAGGTTGAGAAGTACTCTTGCACTCATTCCCGCTCCTTATATACTACTTTGCTGCAAGACTTCATCCTACCTTTGCTACTTCCACGTGTTCCATGCTTTTTTCTCCGTTGCAAAACCTACTAGTGAAAAATATGAAAATTATGAAAGAAGTTCGAAAAAGAGATAATCCTACGAGAGCCCGTAGCTCATTTTTACTCGGCACAGGCCTTAGAGATTCCGCCACCAAAAGTCTACTTGTGCTGATTTTCACTCACGACGAGATTTTCAAATGTTACCATTTCTTCCGGCTCTGCTAGCGTGGCCAGCCCCAGTATCCCATAGTCGAGGCTGGTCAGTCGTCAGTAGACGTTGAACTTAGTCTGGAAGCAGTCAGGTCAAGTTCCAGTTCAGTTCCCGACTCAGATCAGCGCTCAGTCCTCATAATACCATTTTTTCAATTTACAGGCCAATTCTTCCCAGCAGCTGCCCGATCTCTTCCCGACGTTTACCACTCTTGCGATGAAGGCCTCCACACTTTTTTTACTTATTGCACTTATGCTTTTTTCCTCGTGTTGCCCTTCACATCCTCGCCGCTGGTGTGCCGTTGAAGACAACGAATCACATTACCCCTTTTCTCCAACCACCAGCCCAAGAGGACGTGGCCACGAAGTCAACCGCCAGGTGGTCGTGGTCCAGCTCTGATACCAACTGTTATGCGTTCGATTGATTCACAACTCAAACCCACATTTAAATGTTCCCATACACATCTGCCATGACAGGCAGACTGGAGAGAGCAGATTCACACCATGGCCACGGAGAGAGAGATTGCAAAGTGGAAACCAGATAAAAATTGAGAGAAAAATGTTTCAATCAATTATTTATTACACCCCCTGCTCTCCTCCTCTCAACCGACTACAACTCCAAGAATCCCAACCACAAAATCTGTTCCACCTCCAATTAACCCCCAACAATACACTTCGACGAAGTTCAGTGAAACTTCCCCTTCTCCCTGCCCCGCAAACCACCGTGAAGAAGAAGGTGAACCTCGATGAAGAAGATGATGGCTGCTCTGGTATGGAAGCAACCAGCAACAAGCCACTTGAAGAACAGCCGTGTTCTTCAACCCCCACAAACAGCAACGTGATGGCAGTGGCATCGGCACCTGGAAGACCTCCTACAGGTGCTGCCTCCTCAAGCAGCAGGGCGCCCCAGCTCTGGCTGTCCAAGTTCCCCTTTGAAGAAGAAGAAGACTGAGCGCTGGAAATAGTGCCGCTCACATACTCCCATCGCCACTTCCAAAAAAATGAGAAAAGATTGCCGGCCCCTGCCTACTTCTGCCTGACTTCCCTAGACCTACAACACAGCAGTCACCTACAATTCTATCTGACCATCCAAACAGCACACATCAACGGCCAACCAGTCAAGATCTGCCTACCTCCATCTAGATGGGAACCTAGACTAAGGGGACCCAAGACTAAGACACACACAAAGGAGACCTACGGGCCTACCAGTTTCCATGAGACCAGAAAAGGACAAAACAGCAAGGCTGAAGGACCTAAGACTGCCAAATAGAGACTACTAGCGACAGGTTCACGGGTCAAGCCCAGTAGGACTCAAAGCTAGTAAATAACACATACAAACTGCAGGTCATGGGATCAAGTCCCGCAGGGCTCAGACCAGGGGAACAACAGACAAACTTAGTGTACAGCCCGTTTGAGCAACTGCAATTCATCACACACACACACACACACACACACACACACAGAGAGAGAGAGAGAGAGAGAGAGAGAGAGAGAGAGAGAGAGAGAGAGAGAGAGAGAGAGNAGGTTGCTATATTCTCAGAAAATGGATTTGTTCTTTTCTGAAAATCGCATCTTTACTCCATTTCGCAAAATTTTTTTCAAGATCGCAGTTTGTAAAAGCCGAAACTTTGCGGAACCTAGCCTAGATCTCGTTCATAATACTCTTCTGACATATCCTACTCATCATAAATCGACAGATATATACAAAAAGAGAAAAAAGAAAAAGGAAGTAGTCCTCTTTTTATTTTTTATTTTTTATTTTATCTGTTGATTAGGGCCGGAGGAAAGTATTGTTGGGTTCGTTACCTACCTACGTTTTCCCTCCCACCCACCCCTTGCATGCATCCTGGTTAGGTACAGTGCCACGTCAGCAGCGCCACGTCACAGTGCCAGATCAGCAGTGCCACGTCACAGTGCCAGGTCACAGTGCCACATCAGCAGTGCCAGATCAGCAGTGCCACGTCAGCAGTGCCAGGTCACAGTGCCACATCAAACACAGTGCCACGTAAGCAGTGCCACATCAGCAGTGCCACGTCAGACACAGTGCCACGTAAGCAGTGCCACGTCAAACACAGTGCCACATAAGCAGTGCCACGTAAGCAGTGCCACGTAAGCAGTGCCACGTCAGACACAGTGCCACGTCAGACAAAGTGCCACGTCAGCAGTGCCAAGTCAGCAACATGACAGGCCTGCCAGGCCAACTGGTCAATGAGCCCATTGCCGACTACAAAAAGCGCGTCCATGCTCAACTCGCTGCAATCGAGGCTGAGGAACAACGCCAGCTGGCAGTCAAGCTACAAGCTGATGAAGCGACAACAACAAAGAAGTTGCGGCTACAGGCCGAAGCAGACGCAGATGCCCAGGCTCGCCGCAAGGAAGCCCGGGCTCTGCTGCAGCGGCATGAAGCCAACAGCATCGAGAAACTCAAGTACTGGCATTTTGAACCGAACGGCAACGAGCCAACACCGGAAGAACAGAATAAGGAACTCATGGCCAAGCTCGTGAGCAGGTTGGTTTACACATGTAACCACCTACACTCCGAGTTGGCAAACCTTCAGCGGGCCGTGCGGGACCATAAGAGTCAGCACGAGGATGCCACACGGGCACTGGACGCCCGTGTACTGGACCTGGAACAGGCTGTACCAGGACCAGCTGTTGGGGCTTCCAGCAGTGCACCCTCTAGCCGCCAACTGGAGGACCGCGTTGACCACGTAGTGGCAATGCTCGGCGACATCAGCACTTTCGCTGCGCCGACCACSACCATCAGCAGTCAGCTGCATACATTGAAGACCGAGGTCCAGCAGCTGCAGACGACGAATGCGGATGGCAACCCGAAGATGTATAAGATGTCAACTTTCAATCTGGAGAGGTTCGACGACTACACGCAGCAGGATCCGGTCCTCTGGTGGGAAGCATTCACAACGCAACTCAGGATTCTGCCCGTAGCCAAGCATGCGTACATCGGCGCCTTGTTCCTGAACTCAAAGGGCGGATGCCAGACCTGGTTGAGCCACTTGGCAACCTCCCACGGCGTCGACGTACCAGACTTGAAGGACCAAATCACATGGGAGGAACTGACATGGCTGTGGAAGAAGCGGTTCATCGTCGACGACGCGCCGACATTCGCCATCAACCGTCTGTTCACCATGTCACAGGGCAACACTGCAACACGGGACTGGCTCACGGAGTGGCAGAAGATTGCGGCAGTGCCCAATCTGGACCTGCCTTTCACTCATCTCAGACGTGAGTTCTACAACAGATCCTGTGCGGCATTGAGCCAGGCTCTTGGTGATCGCGAGCAGTACTCAACCTTCGCTGAAATCATTKACAAGGCGAGGGAGATCATCAAGACCAACAGGTCAGCTGCACACGAGAAGTCACCATGGCAGCCGACCTATGTGGAGAAGGTACGAACTGGTCCGCGACAKCAGCACTTCGYTGCAGTCCAGCASGACAGTGGAGATAACCCARCAGCCACTCCAGCATCAAGTGACAGAGATCAGGTGGCTGCTGTCCAACCGTGAAGCAACAACAAGTCCCGCAACAATGGGAAGGCGAAATCCACATCGCAGGCCGAAAATGGATAGCCAGTACAAGTTCCATGGGCCAAGTTTGGCTTGACCGAGGCGGAGTACAAGGTCAGCGGCCGCTACGGCAGCTGCTACTGGTGCAACAGCACCAAGCACAAGACCCTGTGCCAAGATCAGGGCAAGGAGGATGTGCGACCCCGCCTCAGCTCGGGAAACTGAGCTCCGCGGAAGGTGAGGCGACTCCACCTTCTACTCCGCCAGATTCGGCCGCCTTGCTAGCGGCCTCCTGCACATCTGGGGAGGATGCGAATGTCGCAAGTCCTCGGTATACTTACGAGGATTATGCTGTCCACTTGGTTCCACCGCTGGACCAACCGCTCCACGTGCAACAGTCCACCGCATGCACGGTTTCATCACCATCGACAACCGATTCGGCAGCTTCGCCGCAATCTATCGCCGGGGATTCGACGTTATGGTCAAGACTTGAAGAGCTCGACCCGTTGACGTTCACGGACTTCCAGTGGATGCCCGTTCCCTCGACCGGACGATTGCCGAAACCGCATTGCAATGTGCTCATGGCACAACTGCGGGACTACTTGCACACTGCAGTACCAGCTCCGTTGATGGACGCCGGAGCAGAGGTTGTCGACCTTCACGCTTACATCGCGAAGATCGACCGCGAGTTCAAGACGCAATGGTACGACGACATCGACGCACCATTGCTATACGTACGCATTCAGATTGGAGAGGTGACCAACAGTGCCTTGATCGATTGCGGAGCATCTCGCAACTACATCAGCCAGGACTTCATGGTACGCGCCGGCCTTGGCCCACGTGTCYGGAGGAAGTCCCAGCCTACGCAAGTCACTCTGGCAGACGGTCATACGCACAAGTCCATCGACCTGTGCATTGACGTCGACCCAGTGTACTTTACCCCTCACGCAAGTGAGGCGGTGTCCTTYGACATTCTGGACACCAAATTCGACATGATCTTGGGCATGTCATGGCTGCGAAGCGAGGATCACCCGGTGAACTTCTTCCACCGCACCGTTCACATCCGTGATCGGAACGGAGTACTAGTTCCATGCACGATGCCTCTTCCTCATCCTTCGATCAGCTGCCACGTGGTATCCGCTGCAAGCATGCGAGCTTCCATCATCAGAGACGACATCGAGGAGATGGGGGTGTGTTTTCTCCACGCCCTCCCGCCCCATGCCGCTTCATCGACGGACTCACCTTCGGATCCACGCATCACCGAACTTCTCGACGCCTACAACGACGTGTTCGAAGGCCCGCACGGAGTAGTACTGGATCGACCCATCCGCCACGAGATCATCCTCGAGGACAGGGCCGTACCTCCGCGCGGTTGCATCTACCGAATGAGCGAGGAAGAGTTAAGTGTGCTCCGCGCACAACTCGACGACCTTCTAGAGAAAGGCTGGATTCGGCCTAGCTCATCGCCATACGGTGCTCCTGTTCTCTTCGTCCGGAAGAAGAACAAGGACCTGCGGTTGTGCATCGATTATCGCAAGCTCAACGCGCAGACGATCAGGAACGTCGACCCTCTCCCACGCATCGATGACCTTCTCGAGCGAGTGGGCGGCGCCCAGTTTTTCTCTAAGCTGAATCTCAAGTCAGGGTACCACCAACTCGAGATTCGCGAGGAGGATCGCTACAAGACCGCGTTCAAGACACGGTATGGGCATTTCGAATGGCTGGTCATGCCGTTTGTCCTTACGAATGCCCCAGCCACTTTCCAAGCGGCTATGACTATAAGACGCAGGACACGGTGAGCAGCACGATCGGACGATGGATGTACTTCATCGACCAATTTGACTTCACACCGAAACATGTCCCTGGCCTCTCCAATCGCGCAGCAGATGCACTCTCGCGAAGACCTGATCTTTGCGCTATGACACATCATGCCTTCGCATTCGACGAGGAGCTTCAGCGACACTTCATCCGCGCATATCAGTCTGATCCGGACTTCGGCACGCTCTATGCACAACTATCTTCGGATCACCCGCCGGCCAGCCATTACCGCATTGCCGACGGGTACTTGCTCCTCCACTCGAAAGGCAAGGAGTTACTATGTGTCCCACGCGACCGTCGTCTTCGGACTTGCCTCCTCGGCGAGTATCATGATTCATGACTCGTCGACCATTTCGGAGTCAACCGCACTATTGCACGGCTTCGACAGCGATTCTGATGGCCCGACCTCATTATCTATGTCACTCGGTACTGCGACTCTTGCGAAGTTTGCCGACGTAGCAAGCCCCGCAACCGCAATCCCTACGGCGAGTTACACCCGATGCCTATCCCACGGGAACCCGGTCTCTCCATTGCCATGGACGTCACCGGTCCGTTTCCTCGTGACCGGCTCGGGCACGACGACATCCTCACGGTTGTGGACCGATTGAGTAAGTATGCGCGTTTTCTCCCTTGCAAGTACTACTCCACGGCTCCCGAGCTGGCACGCCTCCTGCACACTGGTTGGATTTGTGGCCACGGTGTACCCGAAGACATTGTCAGCGACCGCGACACTCGTTTCATGTCGGCGTTTTGGACTGCTCTCATGCAGGAGTCCGACACAACAATGAAACCAAGTTCGGCTCGACATCCTCAAACAGACGGGCAGACGGAGCGGGCATATCAAACCGCTCAAATGATGCTTCGTACGCTCATCCGTCCGAAAAAGAAAGATTGGGTTGACCGCCTCCCCGACATCGAGTTCGCCTACAACACTTCGGTGCATCCGGCGATCGGCGCGACTCCATTCGAGTTGCACCACGGTGGACGGAAAGGCCGGATCTTCGCTGACCTTCTCCTCCCTCAACCAGCCGACATTGACGCTGCCTGCTCTCCCGCTTCCGTCTGGAAGTACAGGGAATTGCTGACTCGAGCCCGCGCAAATATGCAAAAGGCTCAAGTCCGCATGCAGCAGCAAGCCAACAGGCGTCGCGTACCATGTCCCATCCGCGCCGGTGATCTGGTTTGGGTCTCCGCGGAAGAGTTTGCACTGGAACAGGATGTCTCACGCAAACTGCTTCCCAAGTGGTTTGGACCTTGGTCTGTGACAGCAGCCGCGGGCGATGAGCCCGATGGCCCTTCATTTGTGATCAACATTCCAGAGCATCTGACGATCCATCCGGTCTATCACGCCTCGAAGCTGGCAACATACACGCCAGCCAAGAGCGACGACTTTCCGGACCGACGATCGCATCTATGGATGGCCATCAGGAAGTTGACCGCGTCATCTCCGATAGCAAGTACGGCAGCAAGCCGCGGCAGTACAAAGTCACATTCAAAGCATGCGATCGCGATGACACTCGGTGGATTTCAGGCGCAGATTTGAAAGCATCCGCACCGCTGATCTACGCGGATTATGAAAAGCGGAGGTTAGCTCAGGAAGCTTCACGACCAGCCCCTCCCACCCGGACTGTGGTCTCAGACAGACAGCTTCGCCCTCGCAGGTAAGCTCGGTTCTTCAAGGAGGAGGGGGTGTGGCATACTGCGTAGCCACACGGGCCCTGCAGGGCCCGTCCCGAACATTCAGCCTAAAAGCCTAAAACTTAGGGCTTACAGGCCCCGTTCGTTTCAGCCTGAAAGCTGAAAAACGAGGGCCTGCAGGCCCTACCCCGTTTCAGCCTGAAAGCTGAAAAACGAGGGCCTGCAGGCCCTACCCCGTTTCAGCCTATTTCTGGGTCTTTTCAGACCCAGAGTTTTCAGCCTGAAACGGAGGGCCATTTTCAGGCCCTCATTCTTTCGACCTGCCCCTAAGACTCAGGCACGTAAACAGGGATGCGGAACAGGCCAGAAATAGCCTGTTCCTCACGAGTTTGAGCAGGAGCTGCAGCTGCAGCCCCTGCCTCCCTTCGGCAGGCTCAGGAGGCACACCCGGTAGTACATAGGAAGTTCCCATGCACTTCACGGGTAGGTAGWTCAGTAGGCACGAGGTAGTCTTCAGGAATTCGGCCGCAGCACTCAGGAGGAGCGCTGCAGTAGTCTTCAGYGCTAGGCAGGTATTAGCGCTAGCTGTAGTCTTCGGCGCTGGGCGCCCATAGCCTTAGAGGTAGTCTTCAGCGCTGGGCGCTATGATAGGTGGTAGATCGTAGAGTGGGAGAGAGAGACTGGCGGAGGCCAGTGGTACTTACCTGTGGCGCCATCGCTCCAGCTCCATCTTCGTGGTACCTGCATCAAGACGCCAACTTCACAGGTTAGTACTGGACACAGAGAGAGAGAGAGTTCTTCTTCTTCCTCTTCTAGTCGACCTTCTCTTCTCACCCTCTCGCCACCTGACTTCTCAGACTACGACAGAGAGAGACAGAGTTGTGACTTGAGACTTGACGACATTGGATCCAGACTTGACATTTGGGATTCAGACATTTCGACGAGGGACTATTTGGGCTTGTGCCGAAGACTTGGTGTTGACGACATTCCCATCTTCCCCCTCCTCTTCGTCTATCCCCTTCCTCTTTGTCTGTGTATGGTATGGGCTGGCGCAGTCTTCCTGTGTGATGCGCCAGGCCCATTTCACACCATGTAACGATGATGATGATGATGTGTGTTCAGGGCTGCATTGCAACATTGATTGTTCGGATCACTGGTATCTAAGTCTTCCGTTGTGCTATCTTATACTTTGTATTGAAAGGTCGGTTCTTGTTCTGGTCTGCACGTTACAGTATGCAACAGAGTCCCTGTTCCCATACTCGAACCATTCAGCAAATCTTCACAACCCCGGTATACCACACTGTTAGTAAAAAGAGAAGTGCAGATTCAAAAACGGCAGAGAAATCAGATGGGGGATCACAGATTTGCAGACTACTGGCTACTTGATCTGATGCGGCTGACTGACAAGAGGCTGACAACGGAGACTGTTCTAACACCTGCAGATGACCATTTGGACTAACTGTATGGACTGGACTAACGACGCAGTCTGCTGGTGCAGACTGAGACTAACAGGACTCATAGACAAACCCCGTATTTACCGTTTTTTGCAGGTCGCACACATAGTCTAAAATAGCAGGGTCAGATCAGACAGTCACTGACGGAGTGATGCATGGTAGACTGACAAATCTAACTACCCTTTCACGGACTGCAGCCAGACAAACGGACAGACTGACGTACTGACAGTCTGTCCAACTGACAGACTGACATCAGGGAAACAGGTCGTCGGAACGAACTCACGTGGTAAAGTCTTGATAGGAGGTATGCCGCCGGTCAACACAGACCACAATTCCATGGGCCCGGCTGATTTTTCCCAGTCAGCGCCCATATAAAATTCGCTGCGAAGTCCAATCAGCGGCACCGAGAGTTCCTCGTCTAAAAAAAAATATCCCGCTTGAAGAACGCCATTTTGGTGGCCTGCCTGCAATTTGAGGGTCACGACCCTCAACTCAAGCGGTCAACTAGGGTTAACGACCCCAATTGGTCAATGCCAGCTGGCAGCCGTTTACCGTCACCGCTCCCAAAATTTCTCCACACTTCTTTTTTTTTTTTAACCGCACATCTTGCCTCAAGGCAGCCATGATCCTTGCACAGTGTATTCACTGACAGGCCAAGAGAGCTTAGTAGATTACATCATTGCAGAGTAATTTAACACAAAAATATCATGATAATGAGGGATGTAGTATTTACTCTCATAGTACCATTATTATTATTAAAAAAAAAAAAAAAAACAACCCAAGATGATGCTAAGGGTGCTGATAGGAGCAGGCACCACGAGCAGTCTCGGGAGGGCTCCATCTATTGGTGGGGGGCAACACCTGCTGGAAAGCGGGTCCAGCGTCTCTGATCATTGTAATCAATTGTTTGAACAGTTATAAATGCGCAGGCGCTCGGTGATGGGCAGCATTGATTGCCTTCGAGCGAGGGGATTGACTGCCCATCAAACCCTAGGACCATTACCCTGCCCTATTCAACTACTATCCGGTACAGTAAGAAGGGGAAAGATCCGGACAAGGTTTGGCTTCTACGTCTGCAATTCTCTACCCAGTGTTGCCAGCGCATGTGTCTGCCCTATAGCACTAACTAACAAAAACTCGCTCAATAGGGGAGAACACCGGTTCAAAAAAAGAAATTGAAATCACAAAAGGGTGAAAGAGCAGCCTCAGATAAGAGTCCTACTCTTCCGCCCTCTCCAAGCGGCCGGGACCAAGCGACTCACCTTAGAAACAAGCAGCAAACCCTAGTAACATATGCAACATCACCTCTCCCCGGCCCGCCACATGGCGAATACTTGTGTTCATAGTAATTGGTGTGCCCATCAATATTCGTAAAGGGCAATCAATTCCACTCAGGCGAAATCAAGCACATCCAAATGTTGATCCCTGTCAACAAAACCAGTGGGAGGTCCTATCCCTACCCCACCCCTTCGCGCCACCACTGTGCACCTTTCCGCATTCCCCCTTCAATAATCGGCGGTCAGGACACAGAAAAGAAGGGGGAAAGAGGAGAAAATAGCCGTCGCCCATCCCCTGACGCACTCACCACATTATCATGATTATTGTCGTTGTTGTTGTTGTGGATGTCGATTTCGCCAGTCACCCTAGCGATGAATCGCTCGTTGCTGTTATCGTTGTGATCGTTGTTATTGTTGTTGTTGCAGCCATCAGTGTTGTTGTTGTTGTTGAATCTGATGGAAACGCCAATCTCGCCAGTGTCAGAATCACCATCACTAGAACTGGCGTCCTCTGCGTTGTTGTTGTTGTTGTTGTTGTTGTGTTGTTGTTGTTGTTGTTGTTGTTGTTGTTGTCGTCGTTCCCGCTTTCGCCAGCACACGATCGTGAGAACACAACGTTAATATCTCTTCTGGTGTTGTTGTTGTTGGTGTTGTTATAGCTGTTGATTCCGCCAATCTCGCCGGTGCAAGAATCGCCATCACAGGGACCAGCAGCTGCTGCATCAATGTTGTTGTTGTTGTCGTTGTTGATGATGTTGTTGTTTCTGTTTTCGCCAATGCATGGACATCCTACCTCTTACATAGGTGTTGAAGGTGATGATGGCGAATCGTCCTCGTCCTCCACATCGAGCTGAGCATACCAGCGCTCCGTTGACAGAGCACACAGTGCTTGCCCCTCTTCAAGGACTGCGTAGCAGTGTCGCATCAAAATCGCCGCCTGTCCCTGGTCAATAAACCATGCCAAATAAGAAGCTGGCCCCTCCTCCAGCTTCATGATGATGTGCAAAAGGCTCTGCAATATGCTCTGGTGTGTGAGATATGGTAGTGCATCTCCCCCATCAGCCACCATCCTCATCTCATCCACTTTCTGTCGGAGAAGGTCGTGACTCGTCTGAAGAAGCGAAAGCCACTGGGCGGCGCCCTGAAGTAAAGCAGCAGTTGAGTCCATCGGCATCGTTGACCGCGTTGACCACGTTAACCGTGTCGCTGTCGTGGCAAAACCTCCCGTCCACGTCGCGGCTACTCTTGTTGGCTGTTCTCCTGTATTGCTCCCGAATGATGCGCTGGCTTCTCTGCATCGCACGTTTGCCACGTGGCACTTTGCGACTCCAGCTTTTGCAAGCTGGGGACGGCGATGCTCAAGCCATGGGGTGCCGTCCAGCCAATGCGGCTCCCTTCCCCAGGCTTGCGCGTCTCCTGGCGGACAGGCCCTGCCGTCCGCGGGTCGCTGGGTGCTAGCGCTCTGTAAGCCCTGCCAACCTGGTCTCTATGAAATCTCCATCACCAGAAAAGTTAGCGATCTCCACCCTTCTGCCCTTGTACTACTCAGGTTGAGAAGTACTCTTGCACTCATTCCCGCTCCTTATATACTACTTTGCTGCAAGACTTCATCCTACCTTTGCTACTTCCACGTGTTCCATGCTTTTTTCTCCGTTGCAAAACCTACTAGTGAAAAATATGAAAATTATGAAAGAAGTTCGAAAAAGAGATAATCCTACGAGAGCCCGTAGCTCATTTTTACTCGGCACAGGCCTTAGAGATTCCGCCACCAAAAGTCTACTTGTGCTGATTTTCACTCACGACGAGATTTTCAAATGTTACCATTTCTTCCGGCTCTGCTAGCGTGGCCAGCCCCAGTATCCCATAGTCGAGGCTGGTCAGTCGTCAGTAGACGTTGAACTTAGTCTGGAAGCAGTCAGGTCAAGTTCCAGTTCAGTTCCCGACTCAGATCAGCGCTCAGTCCTCATAATACCATTTTTTCAATTTACAGGCCAATTCTTCCCAGCAGCTGCCCGATCTCTTCCCGACGTTTACCACTCTTGCGATGAAGGCCTCCACACTTTTTTTACTTATTGCACTTATGCTTTTTTCCTCGTGTTGCCCTTCACATCCTCGCCGCTGGTGTGCCGTTGAAGACAACGAATCACATTACCCCTTTTCTCCAACCACCAGCCCAAGAGGACGTGGCCACGAAGTCAACCGCCAGGTGGTCGTGGTCCAGCTCTGATACCAACTGTTATGCGTTCGATTGATTCACAACTCAAACCCACATTTAAATGTTCCCATACACATCTGCCATGACAGGCAGACTGGAGAGAGCAGATTCACACCATGGCCACGGAGAGAGAGATTGCAAAGTGGAAACCAGATAAAAATTGAGAGAAAAATGTTTCAATCAATTATTTATTACACCCCCTGCTCTCCTCCTCTCAACCGACTACAACTCCAAGAATCCCAACCACAAAATCTGTTCCACCTCCAATTAACCCCCAACAATACACTTCGACGAAGTTCAGTGAAACTTCCCCTTCTCCCTGCCCCGCAAACCACCGTGAAGAAGAAGGTGAACCTCGATGAAGAAGATGATGGCTGCTCTGGTATGGAAGCAACCAGCAACAAGCCACTTGAAGAACAGCCGTGTTCTTCAACCCCCACAAACAGCAACGTGATGGCAGTGGCATCGGCACCTGGAAGACCTCCTACAGGTGCTGCCTCCTCAAGCAGCAGGGCGCCCCAGCTCTGGCTGTCCAAGTTCCCCTTTGAAGAAGAAGAAGACTGAGCGCTGGAAATAGTGCCGCTCACATACTCCCATCGCCACTTCCAAAAAAATGAGAAAAGATTGCCGGCCCCTGCCTACTTCTGCCTGACTTCCCTAGACCTACAACACAGCAGTCACCTACAATTCTATCTGACCATCCAAACAGCACACATCAACGGCCAACCAGTCAAGATCTGCCTACCTCCATCTAGATGGGAACCTAGACTAAGGGGACCCAAGACTAAGACACACACAAAGGAGACCTACGGGCCTACCAGTTTCCATGAGACCAGAAAAGGACAAAACAGCAAGGCTGAAGGACCTAAGACTGCCAAATAGAGACTACTAGCGACAGGTTCACGGGTCAAGCCCAGTAGGACTCAAAGCTAGTAAATAACACATACAAACTGCAGGTCATGGGATCAAGTCCCGCAGGGCTCAGACCAGGGGAACAACAGACAAACTTAGTGTACAGCCCGTTTGAGCAACTGCAATTCATCACACACACACACACACACACACACACACACAGAGAGAGAGAGAGAGAGAGAGAGAGAGAGAGAGAGAGAGAGAGAGAGAGAGAGAGAGAG